TATATCGGTTAAGTTATAGATACATTGTAAGCGTGAAAATCATATAATAGTCTTGAAATTATGCCAAAAAAAAAAAAAAAATCAAAAACAGAAACTTGCTCCACCAATAATCATCATTAGACTGAGTTAAAACTAAATTTTCTTTACGTTTCTGGATTTTACAGGCTGTATTTTTGGATATGTTGGTATATCGGTTAAGTTATAGATCGGTAGGCCTATAATAAATAACAGTGGTTTAAAAAATAATGGATTTTTTTGTCTAATAGTAAATAATATGATATTATAATTAATCATAAATATATTTTAGGTTGTAGCATAATTTATTTAAATCATTTATTCCAAATTTGTAACTTGCGAAGTGGTATCAAACATGCACATCAGCAATATCTTTAGACCATCTTTTGTAAATATTATTTTTTACTATTTTTAACTACCTTCTATTTGTAAAATTGTTGAACCTTGAACCTTAAACTTATCTTTAACTTGCCTTTTGACAATTGAATGACATTTTTGACGATTTCAACAAAAAGGACAAACAAGTTGATACGATAATAAAGTAGACCTACTATGAGGAAGTATAGGCATTTCAAGTAGTACTTGGATCACAGAAGTATCCTCTAGTCTTACTTAATATACTATACTAATTTGTTTGCCCCTCCAAAATTGTGTACTGAAATTTATAATTTGAAATCAAGTGTATTTCTATATTAATTTATATTTATTTATTTAGAATAATTTGAATAATTTGATACCATGAACAGTATAGATCTACTAATCATCCTTAGAGGCCCTTGTACAATGGATGGTCACAGGATATTTTAAACATGATATAGTTGAATAATAATAATAAAGATTACCATCCAAACAACAAATTGTATAAAAGTAGTTGTCTTAAATATGACAGCATAATTTTATTCAACCAAACACATTTTATTTCTGTAGAAAACAACATATTCCACATAATGCGTACATTTATGAGCATAGGAATTTTTTTAGTGTCGTTTACATGGGGTTTATGGGGGAAAAAAAGTACCCTTTATGGGCCCCTAAATTGCAAGTTTGGGGCACATGACCTTTGACCTAGGTCAAAAAGTCAAACAATTTTGCTATTTTTTCGGAAGCCCAAAACATTTAGTACCCAACAATCAAACCAACATTTGCAGAAAATTAGATGTATTGTGCATTTTTCAGAAACCTATTAAAACCCCTTAAGGGGCCCCAGCGACCTAGAATAGACCCCCTTGGGACTTGAAAGGGTTAACTTTGAGAGTGTGGACAGAGCTTAGTGATTTGAGAAAGAAATATTTATACTTTATTAACTTTTTACAGTAATATAATTCTTGTAAATCTAGAGTTGTATTGATTAAACGAAGGTAACTTTTTTTATCTAAAGCCTTTGAATTGAATTGTTTAAAAAGTAAAGAACACACATCGCCACCCTCAGCCACTATTCCACAAGGGTAAAGAGAATTATCTGATGCATTTTTTACCAGAATTACATTTTTTGATGGAAACTTTGGATGTACAGTATATACTATAAATATATTGATTCTGGAATTTTTTTTTTAGTTCAATATAAAAATAGAGAATGCGATGCAATAGCTACATGCTATCCTTCATCAAAGACAATTGGAAACTCCCTGATCACCTATGATTAGTCATACAGTACTTGAAATTAGGGCTTCTGTGAAATTCTAAATTACCTATTATACTTTTGGGAATGATATGTTTGTATAGTCCTGAAGAGATGAAGACAATACACTGGCTTGGAATTCTACCAACAAAATCAGAAATCATCCTTGTACAATGGATGGTCACAGGATATTTTAAACATGATATAGTTGAATAATAATAATAAAGATTACCATCCAAACAACAAATTGTATAAAAAGTAGTTATTTATTATTGATGAACTGTTTATTAAAAAAAACTGAATGTCATGTCATGTCAAAGAGAGAATTTTCTTTAAATTCTCAAGTAGTGACATTTAGTGGTTTATTTGTAAGTGTTCTTATACATTTAGGTTAATGTTTGTTAAGCACATTAGTCAAAGAAATCAGTCAAAATCTAGGATGACCATGTTGGGTTCTCCTATCGACTGCCCTAATGGGATCTCGAAGAAGACAACGGAAGAGACCTGTGGTAGGACGGAGCAGAGTAATGAAGCTAGCAATTGTAAGGACATAGATTCCAGAGATGCAGAGGAAATATACAACAGGCGAGCAGTCTAGTTATGAAGTGTTTCTTCTTTTATGTTGTGAATTGTATACATTTCTTTTGTTTGTTTTTTTTGTTTTTTTTAAGTTTAGTTTTTATTAATAATGTTATTTATGAAGTTGATTTTTAGTGAGAAAAAAAGAGCTATTGCTTGGTTAAATTTGATGTTGTTCTTTTAAAGTTTAAACTTTTTTCTAAATTGTTTGCATTGTATTTGTTAAATGCTAAAACCTGTTTTGACTTGACTTGTGCATGCCTGATTAAGTTCTTTGTTATTCTAACCATGGACCTTATTAATAGGTCCATGTTCTAACGTAAATCTAATGTCAATACACTATTGAAGCAGGCTATTTTAACAAAAATGAGTTGTTTTAGTGTACCATGATCCCCTCTTTACCCTAATTCCCCGCTCTTCCCTCCATATCCTCCCATCACATCTGGTTCTCTATCAGAAACGAAAAAATAAACCCAAATGAATCATGTTTGAAAATAAATAATGTCAAATGTCACGTACCATTTACAGAGAAATAAGGTCATTTCAAATATTTATGTACTTTATATCTCCATGCCTGGATTACGGTGTATTGGGCAGATCAATGCATATACTCAGCCAGCTATAACCTCCCTGAACCTTTTATACCCGATCCACAACTGTGCTGCGTACATGAGGCTTGCCATCCCAAAACCAGCGTACCATTGCTAAATGTTAAACCGAGTAATTAGCATAAGAATGTGGCAGCATTGTATACTTAGTATAGACTAATTTATTGATATTTCCTAGTATTAACTAATTTTGGAGAGCGCCACCATCATCTGTTTATGTCAAGAAACTTGCTTTGTTGTTGAATTCTGATGCTAAACCAAGAAAAAGTATACTATGTAACGCCAAGCAAATAAGTAATATGGAACGCCATTGGTTCCATAATTTATTTTTTTTTTTCAAGCAATACAATACAATACAATATTTATTGGATTACACTTTCATAACAGTGGCACGTTAGACAAAACCTAATGCTGCATCCTGAAAAGAACAAAACAACAAAAATATAAAATTCAAAAAAAAAAAAAAAACTATAAGAAAGATTTGCAGATTACTTGAATTACATTATTGTCCACCCGCCAATCAAATTAAACACTTAAAATAAACTGCAAACTAAACAAGAATATAAGACTGGTTTGAAAAGTCGAGCAAAGCAAACCATGACGCCAACTCGCCCCACAATGCCCCGAACCGATGCCACCAGACCCCGCCAGGCAACGCAGCCAGCCGAATGCTAGCCGTCCTCCCTGTTGTTGGGTGTTGGTTGACAGGGAAGACAGTCAGCACCACAGCCCCACCATCCAGCGAAGGTCCGACGTCATCAGCCCGAGAACCAATAAAAGCAAGTTACAATCATTATAAAGTTTATGGACTGAAACTAGTATAGCGAAGTCATAATACTTTTACTTGTAACTTTGGCAGTAGTATGTCAATTCCAGCAAATGGACCACCATTTTAAAGCTTATACTGTGGAGAACATGAATTAAAAAGTAAACTTTCATATTTTGGTCACTGATGCTGGTTCTGGCATGCCAAGCCCCATATTACATTTGATAATGACAGCTGATTTATTAGGAATCTTAGGCAGTCAGTTACTAAACAGTTTTCAAGGGTCTTGAGTAACATCTTGCCTCATATGAATTAGGTAATTTGGTTTATCCTGTTTACAAAATGTATTGAATTTCCTTTTCTAACATTAAAGTAATATTTTTCTTTGTGTTTATACAATTACAGTACAATTGTTTTGTGAAAATTTTGTATATTTCAATTTACTTTCATTAAGTTTATCACCATTTTAAAATCTTATAATTTTTACATAATACTACAAAATATCAAATATTTTAAAAGAAGTAAAAAATTACAATATGTCAATTATAAAATTTTTTTGTAAAAAAGCATTAGTTGTATAACAAAGCTTCTATTCTCTATTTCAATCCTACTGTATTTATCCCCATTTTATTTTTTAAAATCATTTTATTTACTTTCTAACTTGAATGAAAATTAAAATGATTTTCAAAATAATTTTATTTACTTTCTAACTTTAATGTCAATGAAATGATTTTCAAAGTCATTTTATTTACCTTCTAACTTAAATGTCAATAAAATTATGATTTTGAAAATCATTTTATTTACATTCAAGTTAGAAAGTAAAATAAAATGATTTTCAAAATCATTTTATTTATTTTCTAACTTGAATGGTAAAATAAGGACAGTCACAGTTCAAAAGTTTTTTGACTTGTTACAATGTTATAGTTTTATTTAGTTCATGAAATATCAGATATTTATTAGTATTACAAATATGAAATATCAAGGCACCAGTCAAGTCTCAATTAAGCACTGCATTACCAGTGGCATATTCAGGGGGCCCAGCCAGCACATCCAATTCCCCCCTAAATTTTTCAAAATTGTCAAAATAAATAGAGAAAGAAATAAAATTTACATTCAAATTTAAGTATGAGAATGCCATTTATGGCCATCTAGAGGTACCATAATCATAAATTTTCTTACCTCGACCCTAACCATGGTGGGGTTAAGGTGGAATAGACCCCATCTTTGAAATTCCTTCCCTGCCTCCCCCTTGGTAAATTCTATTTGTATAAGAATTTTATTTCAAATTCTTATTTAATATTAGATTATTTCACAGTATGTGATATATTTGTATTATTTATTTTTACTGTTTGTGCAATATGGAAAAGTATTTTGTTCTATAATGATAATATAAATATGTATGTGTATTTTAAAGGTATGGACACCTAGCACAGGTATGGAAACTACTGAAAGATATCCTTCCAGAGTTTAAGCTTCCAGACCCTGAAGAGGAAAATGAAAAACAAGAAACTGTAACAAAAAAGAAGGACGGAAAGAAAGATGGAAAAAGGGGTGAATCAAAAAGTGATGCAAAGAGCGACGTTAAAGGGGAAGATTTAGGTGCCAAAAAAGAAGAACGGCCGAAGGAGAAAGAAAAGGAATTGAAGTGTAAGTTTTTTTATCCACATTTTTATCACTCAAGATGATTGTTAGATCCTGGAGGAAAAATCTTGATTAAACCATTGTGTTACTGATTTTAAATTTTTAAATATGTTCAGGGGTTCCAAGTTGGAAATAATCCTTTTCGGGAGAACTGGTTAAATTAAACACATTAAATTTTAATTTGGTGCGCATGGTGGCACCGACTTCCATGAGACAGTTGAAAATAAAGTTGTAAAAACATAAAATATTATGAATTTGCAGGAGATGGGTTTTTTTTTAAAAATGAGACACTACAAAAAGAATATTGCCAGCCAATTTCAGGAGGATATGCGTAGAATATTATTGTCCCCTTGAGGATTTGAACCCAAGCTTTGGACGCTTTACCAACTGGTCTTTGAAGCCGAGCTGGTATTTTAGTGAGTTTTTAAAAAAATTTGTTAAATTGGGTCACTTGGTTTTTTACAGCCGAAAAGGAAACGAAAGGTGGGAAGGATGACAAAAAAGATAAGAAAGACAAAGATAAAGACAAAAGTAAGGAATAATATTTATTCATCAGTGTGGTATATTTTCATATTATTGTTTGTGTTCACAGTTTTAAATGTTATTTTATACATTTTCATAGTGATGTGACTTTTGAAAATAAATAAATGCTATGTTATCTTATATTCATTCATGTGATCAATGGTTGATACCACCAATTGTGGTAATTGCATAATTGTTATCATCATCATTATTATCATTGTCATCATCATCATCACCATTATTATCATGATTATCATCTCTATTATTTTCATCACCATGGTGCCATCAACCATAATCATGAAATTCCTCCAGTTCCTATTTGTAGTAATAATAATATCCATTAATCTTCAAAATAATCTACCAAAAGAATTGCAGCTCTTTTGTGCAAACCTCTTACTTACTAACCTAAATATATTAATTTTGAAGGCATACAGCAAAGACTTAAAAGCAAGTAGTGCAAGGGTTATTTCTGTCTCTCAATTTCTCTTCTATCTGCTCTTGGTCCATTGATTTACTTCCTTTAAAAAACTACTCATCCTTCTGTCTAATACACTTTCCACAGTATCAAATTCAATTTGACCAAAAAATTACCCCATCATATGTCCATATATAGTCATCATGTGCCTATATATGATCATGATTTGATGTCATCATGGCCATATTTAGGTGTGTCACATCTTTTTGTCAAATAAAATAATAGTGTGAATTGGGCTTATAACACGCAACCTGATTTGTAAATTGTAATGTAATAATTTATCCATTGACTTTCTTATAACACAGGACCACAGTTTGAGAAGGAGGGTTCCATCTTAGGTTTGTCTCAATTCTTCCGTTCTGCTGTTGTTAATAACAGGATTTCTATGCGGTGGATTCCTAATATAATTGTGTGTCTGCTTTGAAGTTGTGTTTTTGTACTGTGGCATTTTTTATACATTATTGTATAGTTTATGATGTGTTGTGTGTATCAGTAATACTTTTTTTGGCATAAATTCTTGTTTTCTGTGTTCTGATATCATTTCCTATTTTAATCAAATTGTTTTGATGGCTTTTTGCAAGTTTTGAAATAGGAAATGCTCAATACTTCATTTTGTCTGCTGTACAGGACAGTAATGTTTTGAAGGACATTGTGGTTTTATGGCCATTTAAATGATTATAATGTCAGTGGTGGATCCAGGATTTTGGAATAGAGGGGCCCAGGGAGGAGCTTTTACAGATAGAGGGCCCACCCACCTTAGCACCAACAAGGTTGGGTCTGAGCGAAAAAAAATTGTGACCATGTCACCTCTACATGGCCGGAAATGGCACTCTCAGACTTAAATTTGTTTGTAATTTGTTTTTCTCCATTTTTGTATCTTTAAAAATTTAGTGGGGTTGGGAGGTGGATCCCCGTGAATCTGCCACTGATGTACAAAGTACGAGTTATAAAGTTATACTTAAGATATATATGATATATTTTATGTATGATCTAGGAAAAAGTATATTTTGCTACTATCAATCAATCAATCAACAAGGAGTTGTATACCAATATTCCAAGAAGAATGCAATGGCAATTGAATTATTTACTCAAAGTGTACATTATCTACAGAGGTTAATTAAGATCATTTTTAATATTACAATGCAAAAACTTATCTAAAAAATGCTAAAGGATGGAGGATGTAACAACCAATACCTGATATAATAATACAGTATATGTACAGAGGGAAAAATAGAATATTTATATAGGCCTACTGGTTTGTGGTGTTTAATTGTGTGTGCAGTTATTTTATCTTGCTGTAGATTTTTATAAAATTTAATCTGAAATTATTTTTTTGCCATTTATCTATCTCTTTGTGTGCATTTAACTTCTATCTTCTGTGAATATTTCTGCCATGCTTTATATGCATGAAAATCTCTGGTAACATTTAATTATGTAGATATGGTACTTTCATTTATGATACAGCTATTGTTTGTCAGTGTTTGGTGTACATATAGTCCTTTTTCACATTCAGTATTGATTAATATGCATATCTGCACATAATTTGTTGATAAACCAATCAGTAAATACTGGTTAAAGAGGTATTATTAAAAATTCCTATATAAATGTACATTGTTCCTATATTTGGTTACTGTTATTTAATTTACCTATTTGTTTATATATTCATTACACCTTTTATAATAATTTTCACAGATAAGGATCAAACACCGCCCTCAACTCCAGATGTTCCTCAGATTGCTGTATTTGTGAGTTATGTGCACCCGCCTAAAATTCCAGTTCGGGTGTCAGCATTGGGAGAAATGGTTAGTGGTGTGACATTTGTGGCAAAGACAAGCCAAACCAGTCACTCGTCGCAAATCCTGTTTCAGAGATAATGGCCAAAACATACTGGAATGTTATGCTGTTATTTTCTGCATTTTCAATGTTTAAACAACAATTTCTAACGATTTGGTGATGGTTTCTCCCTGGGAAATGCCCGAAATCATAAACTTTGAAGGCTGATTTCTCAAATATTGTTCTTTAAACAGCTGTATGTTTAAACTCCTGTAACTTCATAACGAAAAGTCAGATTTTTATGATTCTTTTACCATTTTAATGCTCTCATTTTACTATTTAACATTGTATTAATAACTAAAAATTGATTTTTGCAATGAGTGACTGGTTTCTCTTGTCTTTGCCACAATTATTGACAATGAAATTCTTATTTACTTTGACTGTGATTGGGTACTTCACAACTCTTATTTCGGGAATCATGTGAAGGGGAGAGTGGTGGGGGTGAGCGGTGGGGGTGAGCATTGATGTGAAAGTTCATATCCAATTGAAATGAGGAAGAAGTTGTTACATGTTTCCAGTGCTAGGAAAAATTGACCATATAGCCCCTGCTACATAGCTGAATGCCTATCCAGGTATCCATGGATTAGCATGCAGCTCTGGGAATATTTGTAAATAGATATCCCATGTACAGTAGCACAATAAAGATACATACAACATGGACCTGTGTAAATGGTAACAGAGTGGAGCTTACCTTCCACTGTGGCATCATGTGTAGAATCTTCATTGTCTGCTAAGATATCTCTAAAAATTTGTGTAAAATTCATCACCCTTTCAGTCTAAACACAATCATGTTTCAGAGATATATTAATTTTTTTTTCCAGTTTGGCTGCAGTGCCATCCTAACACATGAATTTCTTAGCCTTCCAACAGAACACAGCATATTAATTTTTAATTATTATTCCTAGGCTGATGCATCCGAAAGGCTTCGTCAGGCTGGCTTGTCACACCTCTTCCCTCATCCTCTACTGGTGAAACGAACCAGAATGTGTCCTCTTGTAGCCCCTCCACCGCCACCAAAGATACCAGCTTGGAAGCTCATTCGACCCAGAAAGAAGAAGACTACACCCTCAGACGAACCAGAAGGTAATTTGATAAAACATAAATAGTAATCCACTTGTAAAACGTCCAGTTAAATGCCGATGTTATTTTGGTTCAATCATAAATGAAAGTTTAACAACTTGCAATTGGTTATTATACATTGACTCTTGAAGAAATATAGTAGAAACTAAATTTTAATTACCAATTACATTTCTACTAATGTAATGCCAAATCGTCTGTCTCTACTACAGAAATAATATTCGCCATAAAATTGTAACATTTGAAAGACATTACAATTGACATGTTGCCAGTTTGAAAAATCATAATTTGTGTTAAGCAATACTTCAAGTTCACCTACATCACTTTCATATGAAACAATAAAAGTTGAATTCCATATTCAGGTCAAAGTTTCAGTCTCAAAAGTAATGAATGTAATTATTTCAAGTTCTAATGTTTAACAGATTTAAAAAAAAAAACATTTTTCTCTCTCCACACAGAGGTAGAAGTGAAGAAACCAGAGCAGTTTGTTGAGATTACATCACCCTATGTCAACTATAAAGTCAGTCCTATTCCAATACCCACTGAAACGTAAGACTTGCATTTTCAAATAAAATAAATCACTGCATAAAAAACGTGTGTCCATCAACTTTTGAAATCAATAAAGACTAAAATTATATTTTAATTGAATATTATTTACAGTGGTTGACCTTTCTGGCTAAGCCCAAGAGCAGCTGATATTCTAGACTCTTGTAATTTGAATACAAGAATCTTACCATGAAGCTATGCAGGTCTTCAACTATGTTGAAATACCAATGAATATAAAAAATATAAACTACTCTTAAAATATCGTCATAAAAACATACAACTGATGGAAAATTCAATTCATTGCCAAAAGTATAGAGTGATAGATAGAGCACTATTTTCCAACCTTTTAATCACTTAATGGATGGTATTCAGTGTTTTTTGGATAGCAAATGTGACTAACATGTTTCAGTTTTTAATTATGAAATATAAGATGCAACATCTTAACTATGCTGTAGGTTTTGCAATAAGTAATAATTGATTGCAGCATAAGGTGGGACTTAGTTTCTTTGTTGGCCAACAATATGTAAGATTCAAAATTGAAACTAATTATTATTGAACACAAAAGGTAATAGAGAGCTGGCTTTTATTATGATATATTAATAGAAAGTATTAATTAAAGTTTTTATTATTTATGATGTACTCTAACAGGAAGCGACCAAAGTCTTCCTTGGAAAGAGGAGCATCCCGGCCCGGGACGGCTGCCATGGGAGGCATTAATGAGGATGATGAGAATGCACCAGAGCGTGATGAAGCAGAAGAAGCGAGGATTAAAGAAGAACAGTTGAAGAAAGAGAGAGAACAAAAGAAAAAAGAGGAGCTTGCGAAGCAAGAGTTGCAAAAACCAGACAATATACCTGAAATTTGTGTAAGTTATGATTGAATTTAGATTGGATTTTACAATAATTATAGCAAGAAATACATTTTGGCTGTTGTATAATTGTGTCATAAATAATAATATTGTATGATTAGTTTATTGATTAAATCCTTGGATATTGCAGACTGCCTCGCCTCAACCAACAGCTCGATCTCCATCTCCCAAAGAGCGAAAAAAGTCTGCTGTTAAGAGGGACAAGAGTGCTTCCAAGAAGGAAGAGGTATGATCATATTAAGTAATAGCAAGCATTATTTATTGAGACGGGCACACACTATCGGCCATTTGGTTGTGACGAATCTGTCTACGCTATTGGTGGGCACCTTACGACACAACGCTGTCTGCTCATTGTTGGTGAGAGTCTGAGTGGATCATCATTACAAAATTACAAATTGATTATTTTCGTTGTATTTTGATTTATTCAAAATTTGAATACAATATCAAATTGGCATTGTGACACATATATAAAACCCTTCATGAATCATAATGCCTGATGACAATTGGGAGACTCGCGCCAAAACTCAAAGTTACAATTATGATGCTTCACAAGATGTGAAATGATGGTGATGATGATTATGATGATGATGTCACTCATTTACCTCCACTAAGGAGGTTATGTATTCATGGCTGTCTATCTCTGTCTCTTCTTTAGCAAGGTTATGCAAAAACTAAGGAATAGATCATCATAGAGTTAAATGGAATGGTACATCATCTAAGAAAGAGATGATATAATTTTGGGAAGAGGTCAGAGGACAATTTCACCGAAATTTGATTTTTTTTTTTTACCCTCGAGCATGAAAGAAAATAATGGAATTGCCCATACACGGTCTGCATATTGTTCAGTATTTGTGCACAGGGTGGAGATAGGCAATCTTTGGAGTGACTGCTCTAGTTTATTCATATATTAACCTTCCTATATTTCTAGTACTGGTTACTTTCACTTTTTTTTGCAGGAGAAAGGAAGTCCAATAAGAAAGAAGTCTGCCCAAAAGCTTAAAACACCATCTGGTGGAGAGAAGTTACTCAAAGGTGAGAGACTTAAGGTTGTCTATTAAAAGTATAAATTTATAATTTATGACATTATCAATATTCCATAATTTTAATAATTTATATTTTTTTACATTGACTTTTCTGTTAGATTTTTTTTGTAGATGTTCTTTATTTCTTACAGTATTATGTTTTTATGTTGGTTTTTTCTGTTTTTATATTGTTTTGTACATATAGATAACATCTGGATATTTTCTATTGATATTTTACCAAACAAAATGACAATGAATATTTATTTAAACCAGATACAGAGGTGGATGCCCAGTCTGTTATCACTGATGCTGGAAGCAAAATGGTAGATGGGGCATTGCTTCAAGAGGAGGGGGAAGCTCCCAAAGAGGCAGAACCACTCCTCATAACAGATTCATCTCAACCAAAGGACATATGGATGGATTTTGATGACTTTTGCAAATGTTTTAAGTATGTAGTTTGTATACCATCTAGCACACCTTTTTGTATTATATTTTAACATAGTATGTCTATGATATTTTTGACAAATACACTAGTTGTGAAATAAAATGGTGTTGAAAAAGACAGCACTTTTTTCAGTTGATTTAGTAATAATTATGATAATAAACATCTTTGAGTATTTCTCTTTCAAACTGTTCTGCCTAAGGGTCCTCTCCAATTTTCAGAAATAATACACATTGTTTGTGCCTCTGGAATTTTGAAAGTATAATGAACCTAATATAAGTAATTTGCTATAAGATTTAGAATCAATTAACTAGGCCTCTTCCCATGCTTGCCATTGTTTGTGAGGCATGCCCTTCGTTTGTTAGCCTTATTTAGCCTAGCTAAGCCTGCAGGCTTAGGTAAATATGTACAATTTCATTTTTTCAGGTATAACTTCATCCCCAAACTTGATCCAATTTCATGTTCAAGAAGGGTAGGCCGGCCTATATCTGAGAAACTGATAATAGAATTAGAGCAGATGTGGAAGACATTACACCAATTCCTACCATCATAATTATTTAGTATTTATATAATATATAAAACAGTTGATTATATTAACATATAATATTGTAATTTTGCAGGACTTTGTACTTATTTCATAAACCAAACACATACGGATGTAACCAGAAGTTATCAGATTTGAGGGTAAGTATTTATCATTATTTCTAATAGTGAACAATTATTATTTCTTTCTTTTGATTTGATTATGAGTCTAAAATAGTAGGATACATACTCCAAGTATCGAAATGCACGCCATCGTGTCGGGATTCAATATTTCAACATTAATTATATCATAATCAGGAATGAAAAATTATCCATATTTGCAACTTGCAAATATGGATAATTTTTCATTCCTGATGATGACATAATTAATGTTGAAATATTGAATCCCGACACGATGGCGTGCATTTCGATACTTGGAGTATATATTATACTATCTTATCTGAAATTAATCAGTGGACCTTTCGGTAATTATGAGTCTAGTTATTAAGAAAACAAAAAATCTGGTGGTTCATTATTGTGTGTGGTTAATTTGTTTTGATACGTCTTACGTTTTGCCAAAATAATTAAATATGATATCTCTTGTCAATATGCTGCTGAATGCAGTTCTTGTTTTATGATTTACTGTATTACTTGCCAAACTCCAAACTGTATTACAAATCTAAATAAGATTAATTTTCATCTGTGCCAACATTGAAGAAAGCAGAGAGTATGCTGTGGGTAAAACAGGTCTGTATTTGAAAAAATTAATGCTTACAAAGTGTTGCTGTCAAGAGTATTACTATATTTGCTAATAATCACGCAACTGCTGTATTCATGCACGCTTTTGTAGGTGGCAGCTCTATGCGTTCAAGTGATAGTCACCTGACTAAATCAAGTCAATCACAGACATCTGCTGATTAAATGATACATTATTAACAGACATAGTAGGATAATGTTGAATTATTATATCATTTGAACACATTAAATTGTCACATTTATAATTAAAATATTGATATTTATGCAAGTATGTAAAGTTTTGAAGTGTTTCAATTTAACCAATGTAATCACTGAATTAAGATTACTAAATAATATAATTAAGCTGTATCTAATTGTATTTAATTGTGGGCAGTCCTTCACTTCAGGGTTGTAAATTATTTTACACATTATCCCAAACCACAAGAAAAGGGTAGGTACTTTTTGGCACAGGTGTAGATTTTCATGGCAAGAGTGGGGAAGTACAAGGCAAGGATGGGGAATTCCATGGCAAGGGTGGTGAATTCATTGGCAAGGGTGGGGGAATTCCATGGCAAAGGTGGGGAATTCCCTGACAATGGGAATTCTGCAGTTTGGGAGAGGAGTGAGGATTATCAAGAGGTACGACATTTACAGCTACAGCAATTAATTTCAAGGAAATGGGAAAGGGATAAGAGTATATTCTCAGTGGTGGGAAGTTTTCTTCAGGAGAATTTCCTGCCAGTTGAGGGATGGAGAATTCCCCCAAAAAAATCCCTAAGATAATTTATAACTCTTGCTGGGTAATAACTGATACTTGTCATGGTATTTTCCAGCCTTAACCTTGGGAAAATTTGCACCCCTTTTGTAAAACTACTTACACCTACATGAACATTTCCCACCCATGGGAATAACCTAACCCCTACAGAGCCTTTTTAGGGGATTTTATTCTCAATATTGACGAGAGGCAGCCACAAATTATTTAATTAATTTATAAGCCATGAAATACTCGCACCTAGGATTGAAACATAGCGTGGAGGCACTTCATTGCCCATCAACAGCACAAGCTGGGGTAATTAAGCACGGTCGGCCGAGAATGGTCACCGTGTGTTTTAGACCATCGACAACAATACTCAAAATCAGAATGGAGATCGCTGCGCCAACCCGCCTCTTCTTGTAAGAAGTAATATATACCCCTAAAATATTTGATGTAAAGTAAAATAATATACTATAAAGTGAAGGATTGCCAATTTGTGTAATGGTACATGATTTATGTAACATTTTGTTGTGCCTTATTTTAACCATTGCATTTTCAGTATATAAAATACTGTTTTTATCTGAATGAATAATTCAAGAGTGTTATTCTGTCAGATCAGTGTATGTTTGCAATGTAATTCAATCACCTTGATGTCTAATTGTAATGTTTTTAACGATGTGTTTTTCCGTGTAATTTTTGCTTGATTGACAGCTCATGTTCGTATAACAATCTTTTTTGTACATGTAGATTCATAATTTGTCTATATTTGTTTTGGTACTTATATTGCCTTATTTGACGATTCTAAGGGGTTGGAGTATGCATGGGGTTATGTAGCTCTTTTTCAAAACTGTAATGTCCCCATGTACATTTCTCAATTCTGTCGTTTGTGTGTGTGATAAAAATCGAATGTAAAGCCAGATAACAAAAAGTTCATGTTTCTTGTCTCCTCCAACTTTTGAAAAAAACTTTTCTCACCCTAATTTTCTGTTGCAGTTATTTTCCAAAAGCCTGACTAGAAACATGTAATCTTTATTGTTATAGGGTCTGTGGTTTGGCCTAAAGGATGTTGGTATTATATAAAACTATACTATCGATTTAACCTTGGCTATTAAGGAAGTTATTAGTTATTTCAAGGGTTGTGCATAAATGTCAGATTTTTCTCAAAACAAATTCTTCCCTGAAAAGGAAAAGTAGATGTACTAAAAGAATGATATTTTGAATTATAGATATTTACCTCATTTGAATTAAGGAACCAGATAAATATATATTCATAATTGATTCTTATTGTGAAGGTGTTAATATCATTTAAATGTACATGTATAGTCACTATATTGACCAACCTTAAGTTCTTAGTCTCTGTTTTCTCTCTTCTTAATATCCAAAGGCACTACAGCGTAGTAATTTTTTCTTGTGTTAAGAAGAGAAAGAACAGGTATTGTTCAGTTACTCCAAATTTCCCATCTCATTGCCTTAATTGTTATACAGTCTTTCTTTTATGTCTATGACTTCTCTATTAAAAAATCTCAAGGGTTTGAATCACTTCTATTTTTATACTGTTCCTAACAGTGCATTGATGTGCCAGCCAGTTCACAGTTCCTTGGTGTCTCAATGTCTGCTGCCCTCAAGCGATTGGATACTGTATGTTCTCTCTCTTTCGCATGACTTCTAACCCTTGCATGCTTGTTACATTGGTTGTGAAGCATGAGGCATGCATTCTAAAACTGTTACTGTAACATGTAGCTCAGTGGCGTATCTAGGGGATGCACAAGCTCCCCTCCCCCCCCCCCAAAAAAAAAAAAAGAAGAAATCATGGTCAGGTATTTAAAAATAGCTTATTTTGCGAGATTTTCCCCCTCACCTAATCATTGCTTCTCACTTCACATTCAAGCCCCCTCCCAACAGACTCTGTATTTCAAAACTCTAGATATACCACTGATGTAGCCACTACTCCATATCTGTTATCTTACTTGATATTATTTATTCAGTAAAAAGTTTTTGAAACAAAAGGTCGTAAGTCTCTTCAAGGAGGTTCGGTAGAGAGGGTAATGTTTTCACTCTGACTTTGTTCAAGTATAATACTCTATAATGGCAATCTGCATGTCACTCTATTGCCTGCCACTGTCTAATTGTTTCCTTAGATGATGCAGTTATCGGCAACTTCAAAGAGAAGTCGTTCTCTAATATTTGATTCGCCAGTGCCGGGTGATCTTGTAGGTTCAACATCTTTATCAGTAAAGCTGCAAAGTTGTCTGTTTTATGCAAATTACTAATATATCATACAATTGTGTAGACAACCTATTATTAATAGCCTGCATTAGGTTTATGCAAATCATGTATGACCAGCTAAATTTAACTCATTACCAGCTAGAAAACTGAATAAACATGTAATTATTTTTCAGAACAGTTTTTTATTTATACTGGTTTTATTTTTTAGTAATCTATAATCTTCATCACTGCCATCACCATCTCTGTTATTACCTTCATATATCTCCATTTCTGCCATTACCTACCGTATATCACCATTTTCACCATCACCAACATCACCATCATCACATTACCACTAATTCTACCATTACCTTTAAAACCATCATTGCCATCACTGCCATTACCCTCAACATCATGACTACCATTACTATCTCCACATTCACTGCCATTACCATCATCAACATCACTTCATTGCCATTGCCATTACCACTATCACTACCAATACGATCTTTCCATTCACGGTTATTACCATCATCACCATCTCTACCTTTATTATCATTGCCACCAATATTGCCATCAGCACCACTAACATCTTCATTACCACAATCATTACTGTGACTCCACCATCATTATCATCATCAGCCATCATCATCTAAGTCACATCACTAACTTATTAATGCTCAAACAAATTTTTAATTCATCTGGTTTTGTCAGAAAGCAGTCATAGTACAATCAATCAATTGTAATATGCCTTCTTGCTGGTTTTGTTATTAATATATTAAACCCAATATTCTTTCTGTAAATCATATGTTTAATAAATGTCTGGTCATATTTTGAAAACACAAACAAATATAACAAAGCATGGACATGCAATATTGGTATTTATTGTTTTACTAACTTTTGCATCTGTATCAATAAGCTATAAAAAGCTCAGCCTCTATTGCATAGTATTAGGTGGATTGTATTTTTTTGATACCAGAAATGCTTTAATAGACCGCAGAATTTAGCATCTCTGTGGTTATACCAGTTATGATAATATG